TGTGTCCGTATAATGAGGCAAAAAAGACGGGAGATAACCCCATGCGCCTAACCAGACAAATCCGAGGCCGGTCGATACCACGTGCGATTTCCTCTTCAGAAACTGACATACCAGTATTTATACTCAGTAATATTTATATTCAGTAAACATTAACGTCGCATATACTAGGCCTCGTAAGTTCGGTAAAATCCCGCTACTTCATTATCGAGCATCCTTCAAGGCCAGACAAGGATATGTGGCAGTGTGAGGCAACTCCTTCACCTCCCCCCTTCCCCCACCCACTCCCTTCCGCCCACCCCTTCCCCCACTCGTACGATGTGTGACGTCACGAGCGTACGGGCAGACGCGACGCACATATTCGCCAGACAAGTCCAGATTTGCGAATATGTTGCTGATATATTGTAATATACTGCAATGGATTATATAACTTTGATTGTGTAAACCGATATTGATTTCCATGTAACATATTTTTTCGTTCTTTGATAAGATTTGCGATATTTTATTTGTACTCTTTTTCCTGAACAGCATATAAAATCTATATGTTTGTGATTTATACCTAACTAATGTATTATGAGGCTTACAATGGCCTTTTGGAAATTTTGTTGGGTATGGATTATGGTTGTCAATAATTTCAACATAAGAACACGGAAGTGATACCGCAGCAAAGCAAAGCTTAACTGTGCTCGACACAAATATATACTAATATTAATACATAAATAAATAAATTGTAAACGTTATTTGCAAGAGAACGGTGTAATAAATCAAAGTTAATCTACCAGTACGAAAGCTATTTATATGGGCACACCTGTAAGAGGTATTCAAAGTATTCTGCATGAACATCTACCTAATACCACAGAATATCCAAAATCAATCTCTCTCTCTCTCTCTCTCTCTCTCTCTCTCTCTCTCTCTCTCTCTCTCTCTCTCTCTCTCTCTCTCTCTCTCTCTCTCTCTCTCTCTCTCTCTCTCTCTCTCTCTCTCGTGTGTGTTTGTGTGTGTGTGTGTGTGTGTGTGTGTGTGTGTGTGTGTGTGTGTGTGTGTGTGTGTGTGTGTGTGTGTGTGTGTGTGTGTGTGTGTGTGTGTGTGTGTGTGTGTGTGTGCACGCGCGCGAGTATCAAATGCCCCTCAGGAGAAAATGCCCTCTCATCCATTATGGCATAGGCAATCATGAATGACCGCACGCACTGAAACCTC